AAAAAAAAAAAGAGAAGATGAAGGTCCTTTTTAGACGGTGACCTCAGTCTTGCTATTGGTGGAGAAGTGCCGCTGGGGAGGGACATAGTGGGACGGCGTCTGGCTGAAGACCTCAGGCAGCTTCTCAATACTGAACTGGCGCTTGGTGGCATAGACCTGTCGGCGGATGTCAGGGTGGTGATGGTGGTGGCTAGGGTCCCAGCCTCCCTTGAAGCCAGGGCTGGCTGCCAGGGTGTGCGCGTTGGTTTTCACCACTTTTGCCTTCTGCCCAGGTGTGGCCAAGCCGACCAGGGGGTAGCCATCCTGCAGGGTAGTTGTGTCTTTCTGATGCAGCCCCATGGGTGGGAAGGACAGCGTGCCTGGTGGTGGCATGTCTACGGCAGGAAACCGCTTGTAGAATTCCTCTGGTGCGCTTTCTGCAAAAGAGCAAAAAGATCAGATAAAATGGAGGACACCCAACCCCTTCCTGGACCGAAACGTTCTGATAGGCACGAAGGTAGCCCCTCTGTCCGCTGGGATGACTTCTCCCCCTCCCCACCGTCTGACATCCTTGGTGGCAGCTCTCCATGAGACAAGACCATGAGGCAAACCAGGGCCCGGTGGGCCAAGGGGGATGACCTTGGCAGGCTGGGTGCATCCCGGAGGCTGACTGCCTGGAAAAACAGCGTGTCGGAAACATGCAAAACTCCCAGCTTGTGATTGGCTCATATGAACATTCCGGAACCTTGTTAGGTTCCTGCCTGTTGATAGGTTCAGAGGAGGCTTTGGAATGGTGGGGAATTTTGGATGCTGATTGGGTGGTGACCACATGACCTCTCTCCAAGTCATTCCCTGTTCCATGAAAGCAGCAGCTTTCCCTCCTCAAACCGCCCCTGCCCTTTGTCGTCCCGGTGGGACCCCGGGTGCAGCGCTCCCCCAGTAATGTCAGGATTTGAAGTAAAATTCAGTCTGACTCCTGATCTCATGATAGAGCTCCCAAGTCTTGGGATCCTTTCTTCTGGCCCCAACCGAGCTGTGTCCAGCTGCAAAGTCCCTGAGAGCCCTGGTGGGGCCAAGCCGTGGGGGTGGCGTGGGGGTGCAGGGAGCTCTGCCAGGTCAGCACCGAGCCAAGGCCACAAGGGGTGGGGGGGCTGCTCAGGGCACATCTGCGATGAGTTGGAGGAAGGGGGTTAGAACGGAGCATCTTATGATTCACATACCAAATCTCTTGGTTTTTTAAGAGTTTGTCTCTTGATTTGTGACACGGTGGGGTTGGCAATAATGCTCCCTGCAAACCTGTGCTAAGCTTTGCCTGAGCCCAGCTACACTTGCACCTCCTCCCACAAAAGTGTGCGTAAGAGCCATAGCTGGAGGCTGCATTGTTCTCCGTCCTGTCACCAGTGCTGTCCCATTTCCTCCCCATCTCATCCCACTCCCACTGGCATTTGTGAAATCACAGTTGCTGCTGTCACTGGGGTGTGGGATGGCAGCAATATGGTGATGTCACCCGGCGAATTGGGTCAAAGAAAGGGGGAGGGAAAGCAGCACTCGAGGAAGCACAGTTGGGTGAAGCAGCTCCACCCTGGCTCCGGACTTGTGGGTGTGGCAGCACATACCTACAGCCTTGAGCGTGGCATACTTGGTGTAGTCTGGAGCCTGGAGGGGCATGGTGCTTGTCATCGGCAGGCGGTTGCTGTGGGAGTGTGGCAGGCCAATCTGGGGGACTATAGGGGTGCTGACCACAGCATTATTCAAGTGCATCTTATCTAGGAATGGAAAGAGAGATAGCAGAAGAGAGAGGCATAAGAGTCTTGTATCGGGTTTAAGGCTAGTCTGACATCCTGTGTAATACAGGCCATTACATTCACCCAGATGCTCCTAACTAAGCCAACATGCTTTAGTGGTCCAGAAACACATCTATGATATGAAGACTTTGAGAGATGGAGAATCCACCATTTCCCTTGGTAGTATGGTTCAATGGATATCATCATCCCTGTTAATGCCCTCTTTCTCATTTCGCTTTGTCTGGCTGCAGCTTCCCAACCTTGGTCCTCCTCATACCTTTCTCCACCAGATTCATAAGATCTTCAGTATCTGTTTTTCTTCTCGCTGTGGACTCATTTATATGCTGAGATCATGTTACCCCTCCCTCTTCTGTTTGACAGATTTAACAGATTGAGCTCTCTCTCTGTCTCTTTCTCTTTCTCCCTCTCTGAAAGGCATTTTCCCCAGTCCTCAAACCAGTTTTGTGGGTCTTTTTTGTACTTTCGATTTTCCAACATCCTTTAAAAATGTTGATGCCAGTACCAGACACTATGTCCTAGCATGATCACACAAAGGTTCAATGCAGAGGGAAAAATCACCTCCCTGATCCTCCTTCCTTATTTATACATTGCATTAGCCTTTCTTTCACAGCATCACACTAGAAGGTTGTGTTGAAACGCTTGTCTGCTACAACCCTAAATCCTCTCCAGACTCACTGCTTTCTAGGAGATATTCCTCCTCCCTCTGTAGGTATCACCAGTGTTCCTTGTTACTTGATAAATAACTTTGCTTGAGGCTGTATAAAATGTTTTTGAATTTTAATGAGATTGGGCCTTCTCAACCCCAACCATCAGTTCTGGGTAGTCCTTTCTGCCAAGACACCCCACATCTGAGCCTCTGCCTCCTGAGCCATCAGTGATCTGCTTTTATAGACAATATCATGTTTATATGCTTAATGAGACGGATGCCTCAGAGACTCAAACCCAGGCTCCAGAAGGTTTCGTGAATGGGGCTTTGGTTCTACCTTGGCTGCAAGTCATGAGAGACTGAAAGCCCTCCGTGACGGAGAGAGAACTGGCAGGCCCCATGAAAGGACTTCCAGTTCTCAGTCCAAGTAGGACGCAGTGTCCCAGTACTGTAGCGACGACGTTTGGTGGCCGGGGCAAAGCCTGCCCTCGCCCCACACACAGATCTTGGGGGCACATGCCCCCCATGCTTGCCCAGGACTGCACACAGTAGTGGGAGCTGCCCTCCCCCCGTCCCCATGCCACCCCAAACAAGCCACCTGTGGCTCTGTCCCAGGCCCTGCCCCGGCTAGCCATCACCTGTTGGCACTGCTTTGCTTTGGTGCCTGGGGCAGTCACCCTGCTTGCCCCCACCCTTGCTACAGTACTGCACTGTCCCTCTGGTGCTGACCAGGCACCAGAGCAGCGGGGACAAGGGCTGCACAGCCCTCAGGGAATGTATGTCATTCCTAGAATAGCACCAGGGCTGAAGCAGGCTGGTGGGCAGCATGTGAGGGAAGCTGGCACTGTGGCTGCCTGGTGCACATTTGTTCTCCAGGGCTCTCAGGCCAGCGTCATTCCCCAGCCCTGGCTCCAGAGCAGTGTGTTCACCCTCCTCCTTGAGCCTGGGACAAGTGTTGCTGGCAGATTGACAAGATCCTCCTCCCCACCCCCAGGCAACTCGGTGTTGAAATAAAAGGGCCAGTGGGTTAACAAGCAATTTCCCCGGGTCACACGGACCGGGAGCGCTGTGCCACTGGTGCCGCCTGGCCTCTCCATCCTCCTGCTGTCCAGATGGTTAACTGTAGAGATAAATCTGCTGCTCGGTGGCATGGAAGAGACACCTCCCATCTCTGCCTGGAGGCATGTTGCCTACGGGCACCTCCTAGGAGTCACTCAGGCTCCATGTATACTGCAGTCTCTTCAGTGTTTGCGCAGACAGCCAGGACTGGCTTTAAACTAGCTTGCTCAGGGAGTGGTAGCTGCCTAGCCATCACCTCATGGAGCACAGTGTGGGCAGCAAAACCCACCTGAGGCTCTACCCTTGTCTCCTGGCTTTGTTTTGCAGGCCGTACTGAGTTCTGCTTGGCCAAAGCCACACAGCTATTGATCCCTGGGCCAGCTGGGTTCAAGCTGTGTCCGGTGTGTCTATCCTACCCAGCAGGGACTGTTTTGCAGAAGGACATGAACCTCGCTACCAACCTCAACGCAGCACTGGGGCTTGCTCCAGTTTCTGGGAGGCAGCCTGACACAAGCACTCCTGCTCTTAAATGACAAGAGGGAGGGAGTGAGACCCTCCTACCCCTTCTCCTCAAGTGATGGGTCCTACCCTTCTTGCTGCCTGACTGTGGTGTCTTCCCACCCTCCCTCCTCCATGCTGTGTTAGCCCCTGTGTCAGCTGGCATGACTCTGGCAGCCTGTCCGAGCCGGATAACTGCCAGTGAGTTCTGACCTGTAAGCCATGCATAGATGCAGGCTGCTGCCAGCGCAAGTGTCACTTCCTATCCTTCAGAGAAGCAAGCAGGGGCCTGTCTGCCTGCAGGCCAAGGCATCTCCCCTGAGGCTGTTGCATGGACAGCAGGGAGCATCCTGGGGAAGGAGAAGGGGGCACACATGCCACCGAGGCAGTCATCCAAAGCTGCCAGCCTGTAGCAGAGGCAGGCTCAAACAGAGCAAAGCAATGATGCTGCCTATCAGGCAGCTGCCTGCTCCAGCTCTTAGCGATGGTGGCTGTAGGACAGGCAGGGGCCTGACTGCCAAGGCTCTGCAGCCCCCTCAATGGGCCCTCTTGGCTGCAGTGATGTCCATAGAGCAACAGAGAGAGTGGGCAGGGCAGGGAGATGCAGCTCCAGTTTCCAGGGTAGGGGAGGTCTATAAAGAGCCTATAGGGGCCTAGGAAGAAAATCTGAGTCTTACCGCAAAGGAAGAAACCCCCCATTTGAGACTAGGGCTTTGAAGAACAGGGAGCTACCTCACTCCCTAGGAGCCTCCTTGGCCCCTATGGTCCCGGCTGCAAGTGCCTTGAATTCTGTTCTGTAGTGCCTGGCATCAGGGATGAGCATTGCTCTCCTCAGGACCATTTTTGGGCTTGGGATGCCCTCTCCCAACTTCTCAACACCATATCCTGCCCCCCCCCCCCCCCCCCCCCCCACCCCCCCCCCCCCCCCCCCCCCGCCCCTCCCCAAGGCCTTGAGCAGCACTTCATGCCCTACTTTAAATAAACCCACCACAAAACAAAGGAAACAAAGCCCTGGCTCTGAAATGCTCTCTTCCCACACCTGTCCTGAACTGCCAGGCCTCTGAGCCGCTCCCTGACCCTGACTGCTGTGCTTATGACACCGTGCCCTTCTCCCAAGCCCATTTGGAAAAGTAGAAAGAGACTGGAGGCCTTCCGCTGTCTCCAGACTGGTCGGAGATGAGCTCTTACCTGTGCCATTCCTGGGGGATCCCCGCGTGAGGCCCTCACCAAGCTGGAGCTGGACACTGCCTACGTGGCCGTCTGCCATGTGGTCGGAGGGGCTGTGGCCTGGCTGCTTCAGCAAGTCTGTGAGAGTCCTGGAGAAGACACAAAGGAAATTTGCCAGCCAGTGTCCTAGGGACGGAGTCTCCGAGTCTCCTCAGCTCCTGGTTTTGTGCTACCTCCGTTTCCCCAGTGCACCTCGATTTGAACCAAGGGAAAGCCTGGCT